CCCGGTAGATCTTGTTGTGCTCTCCTTTGGTGTTTATCTTTAGCTATTGGTTCTACCCTTCGTTTAGTTGCCTTAGTTGAGCGGAGGAGGGGGGAGGGGAACTGGGCGAGGATGGCTTGTGTCAAGGGTGGGGGGGGGTTAGGAATGTGACACCTTACTCTCTAGAATTCTATATATACATGGTGTGGGTTCTTTTTCCACCGTTCTCTGGGGCCTATTTAGGGGTTGGTTTAGTTTAGTTTAGGTGGCCTTGTTCGCCTTGTCCCTGTCTTTGTGTTGGGAGCGCCTGCTTCTGCGCTTTCGTCTTTTTTTTTTCTTTCCTTTGACTTTTTCGTGAGCCCCTGTCTTTCCCTCTCTTGGCTTGTTGCCCTTTTTGTTGTTGCACAACCTCTACCTCTCAGGGTTCCTTCCCTCCACCCTCCTCCCTCCTCCCAATGTATGTTTCCCAGGCTGTTTTGGCTTGTGTCATGTGTTTCGGTGGGTGGAATCTCGGGCAGGTCCCTGTCTCATATGACAGATTTAGTGATATCTGTTGTACTAAATTGGGTCTATCAGGTACTTGTGTTTGTTTCCAGCTTCTGGCAATCAGGAGATTTGCAGCTATTAATATATGGAATATCAGGCAAGCTTGGGTTTTTGTGTGGGATTCCATCGATATGAACAGCAAGGCTGTCTCTGGGCTTAGCTTAATGTCGATGTGTAGCGCCTCATTGATTATCTCCTCTACTCTTTTCCAGTGATCTCTTAGAACCGAGCACTTCCACCAAATGTGGAACATCGTGCCCTCTTCTTTGGAGCATCTCCAGCAAAGTTTTGAAGTGCCTGGGTAGATGTTGGCCAATCTGGATGGCACCAGGTACCATCGATATTGTATCTTGCGCATGAGCTCTAGATGGGAAGCACACCTGGATCTGCCCTTGTGAGCTAGGAATGATTTGTTCCATTGTTTTTCTGAAAATAGTGTGCCTATTTCCCTATGCCATGCTTCTCTGAAGTTGTCTAACTGCGCTTGTTGACTGGCATTGTTGAGTGTTGTGTATAGGAGCGAAAGTGGTTTCTTTAGCATGGTCATGGCCGTGAACGCACTGTCTATACTTTTTGTGTGTGTCGGGGTTGATAGGGTGGTATTAAGTGTCAGTATGCCTTTCAATTGTAATTATGAGAATATCAGTCTCTGCGGTAAGTCATATTCTGTTTGCAGGTCTGGGAACTGTTTCAGTTGGTTTTTGTCATATAGGTGTTTAACCAATGTGCATCCTTTTTCATTCCATGTGCGGTGGTCAAAATTAGGGTATGTCAGATGTATTCTATATATTGGGGTGGCCATCGTCCAGTCAGAAGTGTATCCTAGCTGTGGTTTGGCTTTGTCCCAGGCCTTGAGCAGGGTGCCAGTTGTGATGGGCATCTCCGGGAGCAACTTGCGTCTCCCGTGCGGTACCCAGAAGAGGTATTTAAGGCCTTTAGGGCACGCAAATGTTGACTCCACCTCCACCCACTGTGGAGGGCTGTGTGCTGTATGTGCCTGTAGAGCTGTGGCTAGTAATGCTGCTTTATGGTACATTTGTACCTCTGGTAGTCCCAGCCCTCCCTGCGCCACTTGTTTAGTGAGGATCTTCGTGGCTACTCGGATTTTTTTGTGTGCCCATATGAAGCTGGTGATGGTTTTTTGTAACCGTCGTAAGTATGTCCTGAGTAAGTACTGGTATTTATGCAGTAGCATCATCTTTACCGCCGCCAGTCTTCCCACCCACGATAAGTATTTATCTTCCCATTTTTTTAGTGTGTTACTGATTTCTCCCTGTAACCTCCCATAGTTGAGGTCCAAGAGACCCTGTGGCTCTTTTGGGATCCTCAGTACCAAGAACATGAGGTAATCGTCCCTCCAGTCTAGTGGGAATGCGAGTTTTATATGGTCTATATCTCGTTGCGATATCCCTATTCCCATGGCTTGGGTTTTTGTGACATTGAGCCTGTAGTATGATTGCTCGCCATATTTTCCTATTTCCTGCAGGAGGTTCGGTAGCAATATGTGTGATTGTGTGAGTGTTAGGAGTACGTCATCGGCGAATAGATTCGCCTTATAGAACTTTTTTCCTATTTCTATCCCGAGTATCGCTGGGTTGTTCCGTATCCTGATCGCCAATGGCTCTAACGCCAAGACGTTTAGGAGCGGGGACAGGGGGCACCCCTGTCTAGTGCCATTCGAGAGGTGAAATGGCTTGGAGAGAAACCCTGCGTTGAGTACCCTTGCCGACGGGGCGCTATAAAGGGCCTTCACTACCGACACAAACCCTGTGGGGATGTCAAACTTGCCTAATACCTCCTGTAGGAATCTCCAATGTAGGTGGTCGAACGCTTTTTCGGCGTCTAGGGAGACTAACAGTCCCCCCTTTTGCCTACTCTTCAGATGATAGAGGATGTTGATGACCTTCCTCGTGTTATCTGAACCCTGTCTTCCTTTGACAAAGCCCACCTGGTCATTGTGGATGATATGCGGTAGTATGTTCCCCAGGCGGTTGGCGTATAGTTTGGCGAAGAATTTTGCATCTGTGTTTAGGAGGGATATGGGTCGGAAGTTCTGTGGAACCGTTGGGGGTTTGTTCGGTTTGGGGAGTGTGACTATGTGTGCGGCCAGCGTTTCTCTGGGGAGTTCCCCCTTTAAGGCTGCCTCTGTAAACAGTCTAGCCAGGTAAGGCGCTAGTATGTCGCTAAATTTTTTGTAATCTTGGTTGTCAAATCCGTCGGGCCCTGGGGATTTCCCTGTTGGGAGGTTTTTAATCAAGTCTCTGTTCTCCTGTTCCTCTATCGGTTTAGTGAGAGCCTCTTTGTGTTGTGTTGAGATCTTAGGTAGTGTCACCTCTTCTAGGTAGTTTTTAATACTGAGGTTGGTGGGGTGTGTTGTTTGCGTGTCGTCTCGTATGTTGTATAGGGAGGAATAGTATGTGGCGAACACATCGCTGATTCCCTTAGGGGTGAAGACTTTGGACCCTGTCTGGTCTGTGAGGTAGGATATTTTTTGGTTTGCTTGTCTAGTTTTTAGTCGGTTTGCTAGTAGCTTGCTTGCCTTATTGCCTTGCACATAGTGGGTTAGTTTGAGCCTTTGCATGTTAAAGTTGAGAGCTTCCAGTGCTTGTTGGTGTATGAGTTTGGTGACCTGGGCTATTTTCAGTTTTGTCTCTAGTGTCGGTGTGGTTTGGTTCAGTCTGTTCAACTCGTACAATTCTGTCTGCCAGGCCCTAAGCTGTGTTTGTCGTTTTCTTTTTTACGTATGATGCTCTGCGTTTTAGTAGGCCTCTCGCTACCGTTTTGTGTGCAAGCCACAGAGTAGCATCTGTGGTGTCATTAGTGTCATTTAGTTGGAAATATGTGCGGAGGTCTCCTGCCAATGACTCTACGAATCCCTCATCCCTCACCAATGAGTTGTTTATTTTCCAGGGGCTACGATTTTCCAGGGGTTACGATGTAATTGTTCTTTAGTTCTATGGTTACGGGTGCGTGGTCGGACCATGTAATTTGCTTTATTTCACTAGTTACGATTTGGTCTAGTGTTGTACCTGACATAAGGAAACCGTCTATTTTGGAGTAAGAGTTGTGCACCGCCGAGTAGTGTGTGTATGCTCTTTCTGTCGGGTGTGTGACTCTCCAAGCATCCTATAGGTGATGCTCATGCAGGAGTTTCGCTATGGCTCTGCATTGCCTAGTGAGGGGGCGATGGTTTTTCCTTTGTGGTGATAGGGTCGTGTCTAGCTGCGGGTCCAGTATGTGGTTAAAGTCACCCCCTATCACCGTAATGCCCGTTTGGGCAGTGTTTGTTTTATTTAGTAGTTTGTGTAGGACGTTTCTCTGGTTGGTATTTGGGGAGTATATATTTACAATGGTTTATAGCATATCGTTAAGTTTCCCTATGAGGATCATGTACCTGCCATTGGGGTCAATATCTGTGGAGTGGAGCATAAACGAGACCGCTATACTGATTAGGATAGACACTCCCCTAGTCTTTGTAGGAGATGTGGCGTGGAATTGGTGTGGGTAGTCATTGGTCAGTATTGTGGGGTAGTCATTATGCCTGAAATACATTTCTTGGAGGCATAGTACATCCGCTCCCAGGGTTCTAACCTCCCTGGCGAGCAGGTGCCTCTTTCACGGTGGTTTGTGGGGTTGGTGTTCTCTACCTAGTGTGGAGTATTCTATGGTTTGAGGGGTCACCGCTCTTCCCAGCTCAGACGTGCTGAACGGTGTTGCCCTCTGTGTGTTGGTTTGGTCTTTTTTTGTGACTGCGGGATTGTCATTGCAGCCAACCTCGCGGTCTCCAGGTTTTGTCAGTATGTGAATGGTGGTTGTCGTTGGGTTACCCACTAACCCTATCTTGCGTTCAGTAGTAAGGTGTAGTACATGTGGAATAGGAACATAACATTTAACAATAAACATTAATACAATAATATAAACCAAAGTATTTACATAAACATTCCTGAATAAATGTGTTGCCGTGGATTCCGCTTGGCACTGTATAGTCGTGCCTTGGGGGAAGAGGCGCATGGCCACCCGTCCTATGGGAGTTTTCTCCCTCTGCGGCTATGTCTGGTGTCAGCGTTGGGAAGTCCCAACTATGTGCTAAAGCCTTATGGGTACCCTGGCTTTACGTGTGTCTACCTATGTTAATATATGTATAAAATGTTTGGTTTTTTTTTCCTCTGCAGGTGGGCTAGTTGAGTCAATTTTGCCTCTCCTCAGAGAGTAGGGAGGGGGTATAGGGCAGCTGTCTGCTGTGTTCCCTTGACCCTTGTGTATTTCCCCCCCCCCCCATCCCCGTGCTCTATCTGGAGCACTTGTGATGGTTCGTGAATGCGATGTATGTTGTACTTTACCCAGCCCCGCAGTTGGATTGTCCATGGGTCTGGATGCCCAGAAGAGTCTTCATTAACAGTCTCTTTCCTTTTCTTTTATCTTTTTTTCGCCTTTTTCCATTCTTGTGTCGTTTTGGGTCTTCTGCCCTCTTGGTCCGTCGGTAGTGGGGTTGCTATGTTTCAATCTCTCAGGAGTGGTTGGCCTTCCTCCGGCGTTCCGATGATAGTAGTCTTCCCTTCTCTCATTACTAGAAGCTTGGTGGGATACCCCCATCTGTATGGGAGATGGTTATCTCTGAGACTCGTGGTCACCTCTCGGAAGTCCCGTCTCCTTTTCAATGTGTAGGAGGAGATGTCTGCATAGATCGTCGTTCCCTTGTAGGCCGGGGGCATCTCTTTCTTTTTTCTGCTTGCGTTTAGGATTGCTTCTTTGGCATGGTAGTAGTGCATCCTGAGCTGGATGTCTCGTGGAGTGGTTGATGGTAGAAATTTTGGTTTAGCCGCTCTGTGGATTCTATCAAGTAGGAGCAAGTCGTGTGGTAAGTCAGGGGCCAGTTCTTTCATTAGGCCTGTAATGTGTGCGGAAAGGTCCTCGGGTTTCACCGTCTCCGCTACGCCCCTTATCCGCAGATTGTTGCGGCGTGCCTGGTCCTCCATGTCAGCTATTTTGAGGTCTTGGCTGTTTAATCTTTCAACCAGACCTTCTACTGTGTCTGCTAGTGAGTTGTGGGCTTCTGCCATTTCTGCCATCTGGTCCTCAGCATGTGATGTGCGCTGGCCTATGTCTTGTATTTATTTTCTCAGGTCTCTAATGGCAATGGGCAGCTTACCCGCTATCTTGTGTGAAATCTCCTCCAGCTGTGGGACAGTGGATTTTCCTGTTCATCGTTTTGGGCCTCCACTTCGAGTTCCCCGCCGGCGCCATCTTGGGAGCACTCAGTCTGGATTGAGGCTTTACCCTGCACTGTCCTTGTGGCGAAAAAGTTATTTTTCTCCCCCTTCTCTCCTGCCCTTTTGCTCTTAGGCTGGGACATCGTAGTTTCCGACTGTATATTGAAGCGTGCTTTCGGTTTTCAGGCTTTTATTACTCCTTTATAGTCGTCGCGGCACGGAGCTCTGTTTACATGCGGCTGCTCCGGTCCGCATCCAGGGCACGCCCCCAGTTTACGAATTTTGAGCAGTGTGGGGGGGGGTGGGTGTCGATGAGTGGCTCCTGGAAGCGTCTATCGTCGGGTGTAAGGCGATATTGAAGTCCCCTCCCAGAACCAGACAGCCTGTCGTGAAGTCGTGCAGGGCCCGGAGTGTGTCCCGAAGGAATTTATCCTGTCGCGTGTTTGGGGCATAGATGTTGGCAAAGGTATAGGTTTCGTCCAGGATTTTACCCCTAACAAATACATATCTGCCTGAGTTATCCGTCAGCTACGAAGGGTATGGATTTGTGTAGGAGTATTGCTGTCCCCTTAGATTTCCCGTCCGGGTTATTGCTGTAAAAGCCTTGGGTATATATGTGGTTACAGAGTTTCGGAGCAGAGTCGGTTTTAAAGTGGGTTTCTTGGAGATAGACCACATGGGCTCTAGTTTTCTGGCAGAGGCGAAGTGCATGTGACCTCTTTTCGGGGGAGTTTAAGCCCTTTGCGTTTAGGGATAGGAAGTTGAGTGGGGCTGGTGCGTATTTGGGTGCAGGTGTAGCCATATTGTCAAGTCCCCCGAGTGTCTGAGTCGCCCCAGTCTGTGGGGGCGGGTGAGGGCCCAGGTAGGTAGAGCCCGGTCCGGGGCAGGCAGGGCGGAGCGGGGTAGTGGGTATCCCCGTGCGGCGGGGCACGGAGGGGACCGCCCCTGGAATGGAGCAGAGGCATCAAGCGTCAGGGGGGTAGAAATCCCCCGGCCCGGAGACCGGAGCAGGGGACGACCCCCCCCCCTATACAGAAGACACCGACCTCACGGGGAGTGAAAGGCGCCTTGTCAACCAGCCAACAGAGGTGGCTGTGGATCACAACAAAACACTAACAGTTGTAACTCGAACCTGTGATATACTTCTGTTGCATCTTCGGGGCGAGTCTCCCAAGGTATGGTCGGGTTCCAGCCGGAACTATGACCTCTTGGTGATACCTTTGTGTGTCTGCGGGAACTCACCCCCGGGTCCCAACGCTGTCTAGTCTGAGGGGAAGGTGTACGAGCCGACCCAGGGCTTAACCCCCTGACTACAGCTCATATGTCTAGGATACTGATAGACCCCCCTGTGGCGTACTAAGGGGGGGGCGAGGGGGGTGGTCCGCCCCGGGTGCCACCAGGGTGGGGGGTGCCATGGCCAGCCCCGCCGCCCCCCCCCCCATGCTGCAGCCACCCGAGTGCTCTGTAGAGAGCCTCAGGCGGCTGCAGCTTTGCCCGGGCGGT